ATGGGTATTGTTTACCTTAGCCACTGACAGCGTTGACATGGGTATTGTTTACCTAGACCATTGAGAGCGTTAACAAGGGTATTGATTACCTAGACCACTGACAGTGTTAACAAGGGTATTGTTAACCTGGATCGCTGACAGTGTTAACAAGGGTGTTGTTTACCTGGACCGCTGACAGCGTTAACATGGGTATTGCTTACCTAGACCACCGACAGTGTTAACATATGTATTCTTTACCTAAACCACTGACAGCGTTAACATGGGTGTTGATTACCTGGACCGCTGACAGTGTTAACATGGGTATTATTTACCTAGACCATAGAGAGTGTTAACAAGGGTATTGATTAACTGGAACGCGGACAGTGTTAACATTGGTATTGTTTACCTAGACCGCTGACAGTGTTAACATGGGTAATTTTTACCTGGACCGCTGATAGTGTTAATATGGGTGTTGTTTACCTGGACCGCTGACAGTGTTAACATGGGTATTGATTACCTAGACCACTGACAGTGTTAACATGGGTATTGTTTACCTAGACCACTGACAGTGTTAACATGGGTTTTGTTTACCTAGACCACGGACAGTGTTAAAAAGGGTATTTATTACCTGGACCGGTGACAGTGTTAACATGGGTAATATTTACCCAGACCACTGACAGTGTTAACAAGGGTATTGTTTACCTGGAACACTGACAGTGTTTACATGGGTATTGTTTAGCAAGACCGCTGACAGTGTTATCATGGGTATTGTTTACCTAGACCGCTGACAGTGTTAATATGGGTATTGATTACCTGGACCGCTGACAGTGTTAATATGACTATTGATTACCTGGACCACTGACAGTGTTAATATGGGTATTGATTACCTGGACCGCTGACAGTGTTAATGTGGGTATGGATTACCTGGACCGCTGATAGTGTTAATATGGGTGATGATTACCTCGACCGCTGATAGTGTTAACATTGGTGATGATTACCTGGACCGCTGACAGTGTTAACATGGGTATTGTTTACCTGGATCACTGACAGTGTTAACATGGGTATTGATTACCTGGACCGCTGACAGTGTTAACATCGGTATTGTTTACCTGGACCACTGACAGTGTTAATATGGGTGTTGTTTACCTGGACCTTTGACAGTGTTAATATGGGTGTTGTTTACCTAGAACACTGACAGCGTTAACATGGGTATTGTTTACCTAGACCACTAACAGTGTTAACATGGGTATTGTTTACCTGGACCTCTGACAGTGTTAATATGGGTGTTGTTTACCTGGACCGTTGACAGTGTTAATATGGGTGTTGTTTACCTAGACCACTGACAGCGTTAACATGGGTATTGTTTACCTAGACCTCTGACAGTGTTAACATGGGTGTTGTTTACCTAGACCTCTGACAGTGTTAATATGGGTATTGTTTACCTGGACCACTGACATTGTTAATATGGATGTTGTTTACCTAGACCTCTGACAGTGTTAACAAGGGTGTTGTTTACCTAGACCACTGACAGCGTTATACTAATAATTATGATTCGAGGTTCGAATATACCGGTTTTCACAACCTAGTTCGTAGGTCGTCTCAAAGCGGTTCACAAATTATTAGTCCCCTACTGGTGAAACCGGGGTGACTATAGTTTTCCTCTCCGTCCGTCTGCGTACGTACGTTGTTTAATCAGTTCTTTTTTGTCTGAAACAGAAACCGTAGTTATCGGCAGCACGCGTTGTAATGTCCGTGTTTCCCGGAATAACAGAACAAACCATGCTGCTTTTATGGCGGGTATTTTAATAGTGACCACTTCCGCTGTACATAACATAATCACCAAATGACAGACATAATTTCCGGAATCATAGTGTTACTAATGTATAATGTAAGATATTACACGCGTCATTTTTACAGCGTAAACAAATGATTTTTCCCTCGTTTTCATTGTGTATTCCGATTCTATCTGAAGTCGAAAATTAATTATTAATAAAGAAAAGGTTGTTGCATGAGCATACATTCTATGTCAAATTGCTATGCGATCTTATTTACTATAAGTAAGTTCTCCTTCCTCAGTTATTCATCCTGAACCGTCATTTTGACATTTTTAAATCTAGCTGCGATAACGTAGTTTTCTGACGACAAGAGATGTTTTTATATATTGCGTCGTCACGGCAGGGGAGGCCGGGTACTAATATTAGTCTTGCATGTTAATACGAAAAAAACGTTTAATTCAGCAATATAATTAAATTATACTATTTTACTGAACCTGGGAATATTATGTAAATCTAATAGCGCACGTATCTCATTTGACCCCGAGTACCGACAGTTATCCCTTGGAGGGCCTCATAGCAAAATCAAACAAACCATCTACAGTATGTAGAAACACAAAATAAACTCTCTCCGATACATGCCCATTAACATAACAAAATAAGTTCATCTGTGTTCAAATTCAGACAAAGATACTAGCTAGGTTAATAGTTTTAGATATGTATTCATAACATAAACAGCATTTCTGTCGATTCCATTTCAGCTGTTAACCGGCTACCCGAAGAATACAGGCACCGACTACCTGTTAGGGCAGTTATTTTCTCCTTTGAATATTTCCCACCTGTAATAATGATTCCGTAACGTACTCCTTGCGCTATCTTTTGACCATTTGGCAACTTTTCGCTTCGTAGCTGACGCGGTACAACGATTTTTCATTTTGTTTACCAAGAAACGGTGTGCTATGCGCATGACCTAGTAGAGGGAAATCCCTGAACAAAACATTGGTCAGATAGGTAGAAATCCCGATGATTATCTTAAAATGATTCATTTTTATGAATATATATCAGCCAAATCCGATCGTTATTTTCCATAAGGAGACTCACTTGATATGTTTATGTAGTATTTGAAGGGAAAACAGACAAAAAAATATACACTTCACCGTGATGTCCCTAGTGATCGGGGTATGCTATAATTTTGTTTATGTTTCAGATGTATGTTGGCCGATTATGACTTTTCCTATGGGGTTTCAGTTATGCAGAACATCGAGACAACCATTCAGACATGTCACAAACTGCTCTTGGTGGTATCGCAGCATTCTTTACAGAGTGCCATGTGTGATAAGGAGGTGGATATGGCACACAAGTACGCCGCTGATACCCGCCGAAATGATTTCATGCTAGTTCTACGATTGGATGAGTCTAAAATGCCTCTAAAGCTAAATTATATGACGTATATCAACGGCGTGGGACTGGAGGTCAAGGACGTTGGACGTAAAGTGGGAAAGGCATTTTATAGAATTGGTAATACACAACCATCTCGTCAATCTCGTTTCAGCTAATGTAACTTACATATAAATGTAACCATCAATCTTGTCACACCTTATCTCGGTAATAAATAGCCATCATTTGATCTTGTAACAGCTGATCTCGGTTATACATTACCAACATTTAATCTTGTGACATCTGATCTTGGTAATACATTACCATCATTTGATCTTGTGACAGCTTATCTTGGTAATACGTTACCAACATTTGATTTTGTAACAGCTGATCTTGGTAATACATTACCATCATTTGATCTTGTGACAGTTGTGACATCTGATCTTGGTAATACATTACCATCATTTGATCCTGTGAGGTAATACATTACCATCATTTGATCTTGTGACAGTTGTGACATCTGATCTTGGTAATACATTACCATCATTTGATCTTGCGAAAGCTGATCTTGGTTATACATTACCATCATTTGATCATGTGACAGCTGATCTTGGTAATACATTACCATCATTTGATCCTGTGAGGTAATACATTACCATCATTTGATCTTGTGACAGCTGATCTTGGCAATTCATTACCATCATTTGATCTTGTGACAGCTGATCTTGGTACTTCATTACCATCATTTGATCTTGTGACAGCTGATCTTGGTAATTCATTCCCATCATTTGATCTTGTGACAGCTGATCTTGGCAATTCATTACCATCATTTGATCTTGTGACAGCTGATCTTGGTAATACGTTGCCAACATTTGATCTTGTAACAGCTGATCTTGGTAATACATTACCATCATTTGATCTTGTAACAGCTGATCTTGGTTATACATTACCATCATTTGATCTTGTGACAGCTGATCTTGGTAATTCATTACCATCATTTGATCTTGTGACAGCTGATCTTGGTAATACGTTGCCAACATTTGATCTTGTAACAGCTATTACCATCATTTGATCATGTGACAGCTGGTCTTGGTAATACATTACCATCATTTGATCTTGTAACAGCTGATCTTGGTAATATATTACCACCATTTGATCTTGTGAAAGCTGATCTTGGTAATACACAACCATCATTTGATCTTGTGAAAGCTGATCTTGGTTATACATTACCATCATTTGATCATGTGACAGCTGATCTTCGTAATACATTACCATCATTTGATCTTGAAACAGCTAATCTTGGTAATACATTACCATCATTTGATCTTGTAACAGCTGACCTTGGTAATACATTTCCATCAGTTGATCTTGTAACAGCTTGTCGTGGTTATACATTACCAACATTTAATCTTGTGACATCCGATCTTGGTAATACATTACCAGCATTTGATCTTGTGACAGCTGATCTTGGTAATACGTTACCAACATTTGATCTTGTAACAGCTGGTCTTGTTAATACATTACCATCATTTGATCTTGTAACAGCTGATCTTGGTAATACATTACCAACATTTGATCTTGTAACAGCTGATCTTGGTAATACATTACCAACATTTGATCTTGTAACAGCTGATCTTGGTTATACATTACCATCATTTGATCTTGTAACAGCTGATCTTGGTAATACATTTCCATCAGTTGATCTTGTAACAGCTTATCGTGGTTATACATTACCAACATTTAATCTTGTAACAGCTTATCTTGGTTATACATTACCAACATTTAATCTTGTGACATCTGATCTTGGTAATACATTACCAGCATTTGATCTTGTGACAGCTGATCTTGGTAATACATTTCCATCAGTTGATCTTGTAACAGCTTATCGTGGTTATACATTACCAACATTTAATCTTGTGAAAGCTGATCTTGGTAAAACATTACCAACATTTGATCATGTGACAGCTGATCTTGGTAATACATTACCATCATTTGATCTTGTGACAGCTTATCTTGGTTATACATTACCAACATTTAATCTTGTGAAAGCTGATCTTGGTAAAACATTACCAACATTTGATCATGTGACAGCTAATCTTGGTAATACATTACCATCATTTGATCTTGTGACCGCTTATCTTGGTTATACATTACCAACATTTGATCATGTGACAGTTAATCTTGGTAATACATTTCCATCATTTGATCTTTTAACAGCTGGTCTTGCTGATCTTGGTAAATACATTACCAACATTTAATCTTGTGAAAGCCGATCTTGGTAAAACAGTACCAACATTTAATCTTGTGACAGCTGATCTTGTTAATGCGTTGCCAACATTTGATCTTGTGACATCTGATCTTGGTAATACGTTGCCTACATTTGATCTTGTAACAGCTGATCTTGGTAATACATTACCATCAATTGATCATGTAACAGCTGATCTTGGTAATACATTACCAACATTTAATCTTGTAAAAGCTGGTCTTGGTTATACGTTACCAACATTTGATCTTGTAGCAGCTGATCTTGGTAATACATTACCAACATTTGATCTTTTAACAGCTGATCTTGGTAATACATTACCATCATTTGACCCTGTGACAGCTGATCTTGGTAATTCATCACCATCATTTGATCTTGTTACAGCTGATCTTGGTAATACATTACCATCATTTGATCCTGTGACATCTGATCTTGGTAATACATTACCATAATTTGATCTTGTAACAGCTGATCTTGGTAATACATTACCATCATTTGATCTTGTGACAGCTGATGTTGGTAATACATTACCATCATTTTAACTTGTGACAGCTGATCTTGGTTATACGTTACCATCATTTGATCTTGTGACAGCTGATCTTGGTAATACGTTACCAACATTTGATCTTGTAACAACTGGTCTTGGTAATACGTTACAATCATTTGATCTTCTGACAGCTGATCTTGATAATTCATCACCATCATTTGATCTTGTAACAGTTGATCTTGGTAATACATTACCATCATTATATCCTATGACAGCTGATCTTGATAATACATTACCATCATTTGATCCTGTGACATCTGATCTTGGTAATACATGACCATCATTTGATCTTGTAACAGCTTATCTTGTTAATACATTACCATCATTTGATCTTGTGACAGCTGATCTTGGTCATACGTTACCAACATTTAATCTTGTAACAGCTGGTCTTGGTAATATATTACCATCATTTGATCTTGTGACAGCTGATCTTGTTAATACATTACCATCATTTCATCTTGTGACAGCTGATCTTGGTAATACGTTACAAACATTTGATCTTGTAACAGCTGGTCTTGTTAATACATTACCATCATCATTTGATCTTGTGACAGTTTATCTTGGTTATACATTACCAACATTTAATCTTGAGACATCTGATCTTGGTAATACATTACCATCATTTAATCTGGTGACAGATGATCTTGGTAATACATTACCATCATTTGATCTTGTAACATCTGGTCTTGGTAATACGTTACCATCATTTGATCTTGTGACAGCTGATCTTGTTAATACATTACCATCATTTCATCTTGTGACAGCTGATCTTGGTAATACGTTACCAACATTTGATCTTGTAACAACTGGTCTTGGTAATACGTTACAATCATTTGATCTTCTGACAGCTGATCTTGATAATTCATCACCATCATTTGATCTTGTGACAGCTGATCTTGGTCATACATTACCATCATTTGATCTTGCTTGTTAATACATTACCATCATTTGATCTTTTAACAGCTGGTCTTGGTAATACATTACCATCATTTGATCTTGTAACATCTGGTCTTGGTAATACGTTACCATCATTTGATCTTGTAACAGCTGGTCTTGGTAATACGTTACCATCATTTGATCTTGTGACAGCTGATCTTGATAATTCATCACCATCATTTGATCTTGTAACAGTTGATCTTGGTAATACATTACCATCATTATATCCTATGACAGCTGATCTTGATAATACATTACCATCATTTGATCCTGTGACATCTGATCTTGTTAATACATTACCATCATTTGATCTTGTGACAGCTGACCTTGGTAATACATTACCAACATTTGATCTTGTGACAGCTGATCTTGGTTATACATTACCAACATGTAATCTTGTGACATCTGATCTTGGTAATACATTACCATCATTTAATCTTGTGACAGCTGATCTTGGTAATACATTACCAACATTTGATCTTGTGACAGCTGATCTTGGTTATACATTACCAACATTTAATCTTGTGACAGCTGATCTTGTTAATGCGTTGCCAACATTTGATCTTGTAACAGCTGATCTTGGTAATACGGTACCATCATTTAATCTTGTAACATCTGATCTTGGTAATACATTACCATAATTTAATCTTGTGACATCTGATCTTGGTAATACATTACCATCATTTAATCTTGTGACATCTGATCTTGGTAATACATTACCATAATTTAATCTTGTGACATCTGATCTTGGTAATACATTACCATCATTTAATCTTGTGACAGCTGATCTTGGTAATACATTACCATCATTTGTGACAGCTGATCTTGGTTATACATTACCAACATGTAATCTTGTGACATCTGATCTTGGTAATACATTACCATAATTTAATCTTGTGACATCTGATCTTGGTAATACATTACCATAATTTAATCTTGTGACATCTGATCTTGGTAATACATTACCATAATTTAATCTTGTGACATCTGATCTTGGTAATACATTACCATAATTTAATCTTGTGACATCTGATCTTGGTAATACATTACCATAATTTAATCTTGTGACATCTGATCTTGGTAATACATTACCATAATTTAATCTTGTGACATCTGATCTTGGTAATACATTACCATAATTTAATCTTGTGACATCTGATCTTGGTAATACATTACCATCATTTGATCTTGTGACAGCTGATCTTGATAATTCATCACCATCATTTGATCTTGTAACAGTTGATCTTGGTAATACATTACCATCATTTAATCTGGTGACAGATGATCTTGGTAATACATTACCATCATTTGATCTTGTAACATCTGGTCTTGGTAATACGTTACCATCATTTGATCTTGTAACAGCTGGTCTTGGTAATACGTTACCATAATTTGATCTTGTAACAGCTGATCTTGATAATTCATCACCATCATTTGATCTTGTGACAGCTGATCTTGGTCATACATTACCATCATTTGATCTTGTGACAGCTGATCTTGGTAATACATTACCATCATTTGATCTTGTAACAGTTGATCTTGGTAATACATTACCATCATTTAATCTGGTGACAGCTGATCTTGGTAATACATTACCATCATTTGATCTTGTAACAGCTGGTCTTGGTAATACGTTACCATCATTTGATCTTGTGACAGCTGATCTTGATAATTCATCACCATCATTTGATCTTGTGACAGCTGATCTTGGTCATACATTACCATCATTTGATCTTGTAACAACTGATCTTGGTAATACATTACCATCATTTGATCTTGTGACAGCTGATCTTGGTAATACATTACCATCATTTGATCTTGTAACAGCTGATCTTGGTAATACATTACCATCATTTGATCTTGTGACAGCTGATCTTGGTAATACATTACCATCATTTGATCTTGTAACAGCTGATCTTGGTAATACATTACCATCATTTGATCTTGTGACAGCTGATCTTGGTAATACATTACCATCATTTGATCTTGTAACAGCTGATCTTGGTAATACATTACCATCATTTGATCTTGTGACAGCTGATCTTGGTAATACGTTACCAACATTTAATCATGTGACAGCTGATATTGGTTAATTGCGGTAAAATGTAACAACAAATGAAGCTAAACAGTATAAATAATGTAAATAAGATATTTTTTATTGTTTTACGAGGGAGATAGTTTACGATCTCCTCTCATGAAACCCAAAACCCTACAAAGTCGATAAGGCACTATAAAAGACTGACATTTCTGAAAAAAATATTTCGTGGAATTGTATCAGAAGTCACAGTATGTGCTGAATGCAACAAAGAACGGATGAATAACCATCATTTAAAGGTTGTAACTGCTGCTCTTCCATAGAGTAGGCAAGTAGGCGAGTATATTTACAAGGAATAGGTTGAACTATCGTTTTCTTCACTGCTTAACGGCGTGCTTTTTATTTCTATTTTAGCTGATGTTCAACTCCCACAGAATATAAATGGCATAGAGATCCTACGGAAGCACCCGATATATACAGACTATAGACTGTGTTGCAGCTCTAGCTATGAACTCTGTGACCTATCTCGATCCCAAAGGAATGAGTTGTTTTCATGGTCAATTGAGGTATGGTCGAAAAATAATTATTTAAGGTCAAGAACAATTCATACATGCAGGGACGTATAATGGAGGGGATTAGCAACTCCCTCTTTGCCTTACCAATTTTATGACACGTCAATCTAGACTTACCTCCCCCTGAATCAGGAGTAGATAGCGAGCGCCACCTATCGCAATTTTGACAAAGCAATATGGCGTCGGTACCGCTTCGTTAGATGCAGAAGTTGGTGTGAAAACAAACCAATCTCGACAAGTGTTATCACGTCTTTTGTTTATCCCATTGTTATAAGCTGATTGTATTACTTATAATTGATAAAATCTGTGGTACTATAGTAATTGATGTCTCGTTTTTGGGGTATGTTTTTCTATTTTTAAACGCGATGTAACGCGTGGTTCAGAGTATTGTGGTGGGCGTCGATAGGCAAAAATGCGGGATAAAATGTGAACCACCTCACTCCAAAAGTGTTTTACCGATCTTTTTTTAATTAGCAGCAATAGAAAGCTGAATAAATTTTATAACGACCCACCCTTTTTTATTGCAAATAATATAATTCAACTTGTGTTATTTTTGTGTCAAAAAGTGTAAATATCAGCATTATTTTTCACTGGAACGAAAATCATTATTGCGAAAGTAGTTGGTAACTGCTCACTGTTTTGATTAAACATCGTTTATATCGTTTATATTTTTTAAAACAATTGATATCAATAAACAGCCGAGTAATTTCTATGTTAAGCAGTCCTGATTTGATTTGCATTATTTGGAACGATAGGATGTCACAAATGAAATTGCTCGTCTGGTAACGAAGGACAGGTGTTGTTAAAAACCGTAAACAACCGGAAATGTTAAACGCAACAAAAATTTATCGCCTGCATTCGAGGATCAGCTCATTTAAAAAATTGTCAAAAAATGTCAATATTAGCATTATTTTCACTGGAACGTGCTTTACGAAATGTGATTGGTTGTAATAGCCACCAACACAGCCGAAAGGCTAGACATAGTGGCAACGATAGCTCGTCCCTGGAATAAAAAGAAGACCTACTAATACACAGTCCCAATCAGGGCTAACCGTTATCAAAACACTTTGATCTCGCCGAGATTGTTGACATGACACCGAAAGCAGGTGCGTGCTTAATTTAAACGCTAGTGCGCAAGCGCGGGCTGATCGAGAGGGGCTCTCGATGACTTCGCGGTTCGGTGAACAAACACAAAAGCGACGTGCTATAAATCTTGACTGGGGCAGAGTTGCCAATCCCCTCTATATACTGTCCCTGATACCTGTGGCAAATCGGAAAACATAATTGTTATTGCATCATTTCGTTTCATAATTATTACTAAAACGTTGAATTAATATATTTTCTCAAATATATAATTTCATACTTTGATACAATTGTGTGACCGCACACCGCACCAAAAACACCGTGCATACACATCGTTCACACACCGACCGCACATCGTCCACACATGGTGCGCACAACTGTGCGATTTAACAATCGTTCGCCCCGTTGTGCGCTTCTCTCCGCACAACTATGCGATTTTGTATAATTTGTTGATCAATATTACGGAATGAAAAAAATACGAAAGGCTCGTATGCAAAAAATGTACACTGTATATATTTTACTGTAATTCTCTCATCTCTATAATTAAGAGTATGTACAATTTTACAATGCGCGTAACACAGTATACAGTGACCGTTAGATTGTCATGAATTGGTTTGGCTCCTCGGTAACAGAACAGGTAAATAACAATTTAATGAGTGACCGGAGTTTTACCTGGACTTTGTCTGACACATAGAGCTGATATGTGATACCGTATGACCGTTATGAAAACACAACTGGACCATTAAGGTGGCTCCACACATCGTCATCAGCGTCCATTTTCGTGACGTACTTCCGGAAAAAGTACAGCTCGGACTCAATTATCTTGATCGAAATGTGCATTTACACCGTGTCGTCATTTCCGTATTGCGTATCGGGCATTCAATATCGTAGTGCAAATTATAGTAACACCTGCTGGGCCGTTTTCGTTTAAACGGTCAACCACTGTTGTTCGTTTATTAGGTAAAGTATAGTACACGTGCGTGCCGATGACATGTTAACACCCGATATCGAGATTTTACCGGGAAATGTATAATCAGGCGTGCTTCAGGAATAGAGCTTTCCAATTCATAGACATAAATCGACTCACGGGAAGACAGTGACATGAGACTAAACGACCTCAAGAAGGTCATATAGGAAACGCATGGAATGCGGACGTACCAACCTCACATGTGCAACACGAGTTCATAAGCTCGAGGTCGTTACGATTTTCGCTGCTGAGGGAGTTTCGCTCTGTCGATTAAATCGTGTTTACAAATGTAGTCTACTTACTCTGTGAAAATAATGTTTTGTAAAATATCAAGATACCTATGAAATGCATGTGTGAGTGCACGTGAGAACGGCATACCATGCGATAGCCTCTGGTCACATATGTACCTGACATGTAATTATAAATATACCGTGAGTTAGCGGACTGTGGAATGAGTTCAAAGTGTACATGACTGAGGGTAATTTGGTTCCATTAAAGAACAATAAATTGATGATTTTGATATCATATTTTTTATTTATTTCCATAATTTTTGTTATATGTAAACAGAGAAAACTGTCATTGTGTAAATGTCACCCCTTTGCAAAAAGTTCCGATTTTTTCAAGGAAGATAACTCTCACCCGGATCGAAGTGATTGTAAAATGTAAAATAAATTAATTATAAAGCCATTGTGTATATTTTGTTCAATTTCCCATTCTATATGTATAGATCTTTGAGTCCTGTTTGCTTTTAGCTTGTAGATAATCACTTTTATCCGTACAAATTCAATAAAAAAAACACTTTGTGTAACATGTGTTACATATTTTGCGATAAATAAAATATTTGTAGAGTTAATTAGAAATGCTCCTTTTCATTTTATTATTGTTGTTATTGTTCCGAACAATGTCACACACAAAAAAAACCCGAAAAATATTAAAATTGACGAAAATTCAATTTTTTGGTATTTTTTCCAAAAAAGTCCCCAAACTATCGGAATGTTTAGATTTTCATAAAATCAACTCTACATAGTTGCATAACCATTATATGAAAGTTTCAACGAATTTTGCTGGTTAATTGCGAAAGTGTGGAGCCACCTTAATATTTGTTATTTGCATTCGCTTTGGTCTATAGCTCCCCTTCACCTGGTTTTCACACCTTGGCGTGTTACGTAAGTGCCCCGGGCCGGGGGAAATCTTCGGTCCAGGTTCAAAGTGGCAATGTTTACCTGTGTTGCTGAGACTGTGTTGTAATTTTACATGTGTCGATTAAGGTCCTTTATACAACACCGAAATCACCATTTTTAAATTTAAGAAAGTATAGACAGAAAGATAAGATTATAGACGTAGCTTGAATATAGAAACATACTAAAAAATCAAGTGTATATGTTTAAACACGAAACCGTATATATTGTTAAGCCATTTCTCAAATTACACCAACCGCGAATGTTATCGCACAACGTTCGTCGATCGTCCGCACAAATGTGCGCAAGCAATGATCGTCCAATTTTTTATCGTTCGCACTTCGTGCACACATCGTTTACACACCGTGTGCGATCCCACAACTGTACCTTACAGATGTCATGAGTTAAATGAGACTGAAAAGTCTTAAGTGGACGAAATCACCATACTGTGCCGTAAATATTTTCTTTGTTTGACTCTCTCCATCGGCTTAAAATCTTTTAAAATAGAAACCTCTTAAATACCTTTTTCTGGCAGTTTTTGTATTCTGTTACAGGAATCACAAGAATGTTACCGAAAGATAAGGGAGGAAGCCAATGACCACTTTCTTCTTAAACGATACGCCGTGTTTGTTTGTGGTCCCACGCTCATGTGTGTTTGGATGCTTCTGGTTTTGGGAATTACCATATTATTCGCCTCGTTGTATATTTTGTTATCAATACTTACCGGAGCAGACACCTCTCTCCTCTACTATCTGCTTATAATTTCCAGTGTGTTGATTGGTTTAACCATATGTCTCTATACAGCATATACAGTGTACATTTTCCATCAGGTATGTATATCTGACATAATATAAGTATTGCGCGTATCAAAACTATTACCTACTTCTGTAGTTTATGATTTGCAAAGATGCACCGGTCCTTGTACAGTACAAACGGAATCAGTAAATAGATTAAAAACTATCAAAAAGCATCTTAATGACTTGTTAATGATAGTCATGAATTTGTAAAGAGTAAGATGATGTCAGAACTTGGATTTTAATTTTAAAACTATTTAAACAAATTACATCTGAATCTTTGAGGTAAGGTCAGTACATGATTTCTTAATATGTCTCCTTCTCATTAAATATCCAGACTTCTGTCAAGTCATTTTGCTTGCGTTGCAAATTATTTTTCCCTTGTTGTGTTCCTGTTATATATAAAATGAATCTAGAGATATGGTCTTTGATATAGAAAACACAATTGGTCTGTTGCATTGTAATGCTTTATAAATAAGAAGGTATACACTTTCTGCCACCTTCAAATACACATCGTAATACAAGTTTGTTTAACTATGTATATTTGCTTCCCTTTCCCTTAAAAAACATTTCATCCTTATTTAAGGTCTGGAATATGGAAATCGTAAACAGCCCCTGAAGTTATTTGGAAAGGGTCAAAATACATGTAAAATATGTAATATTGGCTTTTCGATTTGTGTAAATTCCTATCTTTGAAACAATCCTATGACCATCCAATTCAATGTTTAATAGTGTTTTTGCCTGGCCTATACATAACTTTGGTCGTTTTTAAAATCACTGTGACAAGTTATTTTTGTTTTTATTTTAGATGATGAGTAGACTCTATTCCATTGTGCGGAAGAATATAGATTGCAAATCACAAAATTACATCGTTATTCCCAGACGGCACTGGAACGACATTTTCGTATCTTTTACTTCTTATGCAAATAACTAGATTACGTGATACGTCAGATGTAATAAATATATGAATAGAACTTAAACTTTTATATACTGATTGTTTTTTTGTAAAATGAAAGGCCATAAAATGTGGAAAAGATGGGCCATAAATAAAAGTCAATCTCAGTTTTATAAAGAAAGAGAATCTGTCTCTGCCTATCGAATCCTTATCTATATATATATCACGATGAACTGACGGAACCTCCAATGTAAATGATACAATGATTTTTAAATCTCCATGTAAAGTAAGGAAGTACTGTAGTTGTACCAGGAATTTATAATTAATCCGATATACATGCCTTGACTAATTGAGATTTCCTTCATATATTACGACATGAAACCATGCTGGGTAAGTATTGTTTATTATTATTTCGAATAGCGAACGATTCCTTATTTTCAAGCAGATAATAGGTAAGATGACATGATTTGTTTCCGGTAGGGTTGGTAGCATAGACGGATGAATAAGCTATCTAAATCTTTTATGTTTCACTCAAGGATGTACTCCTCTGAAAAGTCAAACAAATCTAAACTTCTTTTCTTATATAAAATTTTGGAAAAAGGAAATTATGAGAAAATAATAAAACAAAGAAAATTGCATGTCCGTGTTTTCGTTTTTTTGTTATGTTCGGTCAAACTTTCCAATTCAACATAACGTTTGATTTGACCGTATGAAAACCAAATTCATACAATACCTTTCAAGAGTGCCAATTTATGAATGGTTGCACAATTGATAAAAATTGGGTTTTCTCCTAAATTATAGAAGTGAAAATTTCTTCGCCCTATATTTTTATCTCAGAAATGCAATTAATGTTACCCCTACCCCCATTTTTTAAGTTCAAAATGCTACTTTTTCACCTTTTTTTGCAGATTTAACGATTGATATGAAAAGTTCGGGTGTTAAACTTTAACTTATTTTCAATGGATCGAAAGAAGTTGAAACATTCATCAAACAATCAAAACAATGGGGTTTCCGTGTTCTGTTTCACCCTTTGCGGGATAAAACACCAAAAACGCTTCAGTTGACATAAATCAGTAGCAACATACCAATATTGTACAATTTTCCACTTTGTTGTATGATATTGTCATAATATTGGACATTTTAAACTTGAACAGCAAAAATGAACTTGTCAAAAATGGTGTAATTTTAGCACTGCGTAGAGTGCAAGAAATACAAATTTTTGAGATATTCAAAATGGCAGCCGAATTGGTAATTTTCTTAAAAACCTGTAAAAAAAAAATCTGCAAACAATGGGCATCTAGTGTTTTGATACATTTTTCAGATGCATGCTTGCTTTTGAAATTGATCATAATTTGTTATATTTAATAAAAAAAAAAACAACACCGCTATACTAGTTCAAAACGAGATTTGAACGTGACTAAAACCTCAGAAGAGTACATCCTTAATCAATTAATCATATTTCCTAAAACATCGTAAGAGTACAGCTGCGACTTTTGGAGAAACATATGCAGTGTTCATGTTCAATGAAATTTCATTTATGAAAAGTATCAGACATACACTTGAGCAAGTCTACAGTAGCTGACTGAGTTGTGGGGGATTACAAGAGTTTGAAACGACGCCAGGGAAAAAACGGATAAATATATAGGCAGCCAATGGGTGGTGTTGTATTCGACGGTAGTCGTTACTTCGCGGAAATCCTATAGTTCTATATTTACATCAAGATGATGAATGAAAACTGGCATTTTTGGTTCGGTTTACTTAGTCCGAATTATTCTGACGTTTTATCAACTTTTTTCATATCGGTCTGTCGTCGATTAACGTCAGAACTCCGGCCCTCTATAATATGCGGGAAATATGCGACCCGCGCCCGGAGCGCACTTTAAACTGATATTTTAGAAACAAATCGTCACTTTCACACACATGTTGCACATGGATCGAAAGATCTATTCTTTATGCACTAGGTGGTATCAATAACATGTTTCAAAGATCATTACGAAAAGTATTTTCCAACGTTTTATATACCAATCCATGTTTTTAATGGAAATTAGGCCATGAGCAATGTCACATGACTTGACGAGATCTCGCGTTACCGAAGGTATTTCCCAACGTTAGGACGTAGGCCGGCGATATTTTAGTCACGTGGCATTAGAAGGCGGGGCTATCAAAAAACTAGAGTAAAACAGAGTAAGTTTGAAAAAATATGTTTTTAGTTATTGTATTGGTTGTTTGAGGCATGTTATGTATGTTCATCTTGTGCATAAAGAATAGATCTTTCGATCCATGTGCGACATGTGTGTGAAAGTGACGATTTGTTTCTAAAATATCAGTTTGAAGTGCGCTCCGCATATTATAGAGGGCCGGAGTTCTGACGTTAATCGACGACAGACCGATATTAAAAATTTCGATAAAACGTCAGAATAATTCGGACTAGGTTTACTGTGCTGAAGAATGGCTGATGATGTCCACCGCAAACGAAATGTAAATTATCCATGCTTTCACGATTGATAGTGCGTATTAATCTACGTCGTATTACAAACATGTATAAGGTTTACTCAAGATTAGAGACAAAAACGAATATAGACTTAGAGAAATGATGAGCGCTGTGTTTCTTGGCGAAAAGACTTAAGAGTGTGTTATTTCAGAAACGTTGTGACATCGTTGTGTTTAACCATTGTGTGTAACACTACAACATTAAAGTAAGGTATACGTTAGTGTTTTCTCTGCGGCTTTGAAAATGATTTTGTACATATAAATCCAGGTAAACGAAGCAAGGTAACGGGAAAAAAGTAACTCGCTTTGCTTTTGTACACGTTCCTCATTTCAGAACTGTGTAATCAGGAGTTTACCTCGCTGCGCTTGATACACTTACAATTCCCTCCCTTACATACTTACAATTAATGGAATTATATTGTCGCATCACTAATAATATGTCTTCATTTAAAACTGAAATCCGTCTCTGATTTAGAAATATCTGGAACAAAGAGCACGAGAATATTGGCCGGATGATTCCGAAGAGGATATTGCTGTGAGTATATTGTGTAACATTTCACATGCGTCCGTCACCAATTTACTTAGCACTGTAACAGGAAATAAAACACGATCAAGACGAATTTAACTTATTCATCCGTATATATATTTAAATTGGACTTGCCCAGTCTTTGATTTGGTAAGGTCCACATGCTACTTTAGGGGTGAATGGCATAAACATTTGATAATAGGAGCAAAATGTCCAATATGTCTTCGTTAAAAGTGTTCAATTTAATGATTTTTTGAGATGATTTTGCAAAGTTGAATGAAGAGTCAAGGTCGACGCAGATTTCTTGTTTACCGGTTTATTCCCACAATATGTGGAACATAATCAAAAAAACCTACAAAGACACAATACAATTGATTACATAATGAAACACAGCGCTCACATATATAATTCCTAACATGTACATTCGGTGCATACATATTTGATCCGTTCACACACAATAGGTTATTCAAAAATAGGAATAACTTTACAATGACTGACTTCATCATAATCAATAGTTGAAATTACTTACACAAATTACTTATACATAATTATATTGAATACAATTATCATCATCAATTATCGCTTGTTTACATTAACACATACAATATTAAAATACCTACCCCAACTATGGGTCGGGGGTTTACACGAATGAAGATCTGTATCCGCGCGTTCTCAATCGGAAACTATCATCTCTGTAAAAGAGACATGTAAATCACAATTTACATCATGTTGATAAAAACATATATACATTACTTTAAAAAGAGCTATCTATGTATCGATTAATTATACCTGTACGTAAGATAAAGATTCTGTTAATTTTATAAAAAGTACAATTTCACAATATAATTAATGCTACTTTATCCAAAATCTCATTAATATAATAATTTAACATAAACCAATTACAGAAGAAGACTTTGTCACATCTATATTTGTACATACCAGATCTATCACAATTATTTCCCTATAGTATTATCCTAGTACAAGATAATATTGTGTTGCCTTGGCAGCACTTTCAAACGTTTTCATGAACTCTTCTGAAAATTCCTAAAAAAACCAATTAAGACTAAATTAACATGTTGCATGCTATGCTATTTCTATAGGTAAATATAGAAAGGCACGATAATATTTATTTTTATTTTCGCCTTTTATTTTATAGAATAAATGCAATGAGGAATTGGTCACGACTATCCTTGACTCGTTTAAGGGATCAGACTGGAATCCAATACCACAGGCAGCGTCCATCCGGCACAATACTTACCAGAATAGGTGTTGCCTGTGTATGGTGGCAAAGTCGCCATGGACAAAAGGGAAGTCAGCATTAAATGTCATACCAGAACAAGTAAGTTGTAAACTAACTTAAGGATCCCAGTTCCACTACGAACACTGTAATTGAGTTATCTATTGGATACCGTTTTTTATTCGGTATGACTATAGCTTTGATAAATCATTTCTGTAAAGAAACTATATCTTGCAGGACTTTAATGGAAAACAGTTAAGATAAAAAAAAATACAATCAACAGGAGTGTTCTTATAGTAAAAGGTTCGACGGGGCTAGACCATCAATCGAACCCTGAACTTCAGATTGGTATACTTTCACTTTAACTGATTGAGCAATCTGGTCAACGGAGTAATATTAGCCCAACTGAAACGTATTGTTATTGTATATAGGAAAACACGGCAGTGCAGTGTTATATATAAGTACTATGTAGATCGCATAGGTCATTTATACTAACTTGAGAGTCAGACCAGATCAGTTGTTTACTTACTGCAAATGCCGACCAGTTCAGTTGTGACGTGAAGATGTTGATCCTGACGTAGAACCTTTGCGTTTCCTTTTCGTTTGAGTAAAAATACAAACAGTTTACAAAAATAAAACAAGACAATCAGTCGTTAGTGTATTGTGTAAGTATTATCAGATTTATTGAAATATCCCAATTGAATAATATTTCTTTGTTTACGATTTGTAGGGTATAGAGAACAATCAAGATGAAGAAACTTGTGTCATGAAAATTGCAGAAAGCGAAATAGAACATGAAACTTTTGTCAAAAATACATTTGAAATTGATCATGAACATTTTGAATCGACAGAGGAAAACGACGAAACCAGCGTCATGAAAATAGTATGCAATTCTTCTGACTCACATGTTGCCGGAGCAGTGAGTGGTTCACCTCGAACTGAAGCTGGAAGTGGTTTTCTTTTGACAGGAGCAGAGTTCGGTAAATCTTTGACAGGAGCAGGAGGCGGTACATCTCTGAGAGGAGCAGAAGGCGGTACATCTCTGAGAGGAGCAGTAGGTGGTACATCTCTGAGAGGAGCAGTAGGTGGTACATCTCTGAGAGAAGCAGAAGGTGGTACATTTCTGAGAGGAGCAGTAGGTGGTACATCTCTGAGAGGAGCAGAAGGCGGTACATCTCTGAGAGGAGCAGAAGGCGGTACATCTCTGAGAGGAGCAGAAGGCGGTACATCCCTGAGAGGAGCAGAAGGCGGTACATCTCTGAGAAGAGCAGTAGGTGGTACATCTCTGACCGAAACTGTAGGTGGATCATTGTTAGATTCGAACATTGACCGATGGTACGGAAACATGTGTGAAACTCGCGTGCGGGGGGAAGTTACATCTACACAACAACCACAAGTGTCACACGAGCTGATTACTTGGAGGGAAAATCCAGTGAATTTGACTGATTCTGAAATATCTACCTCATTAAATGATCGTGAGGAGGCTGTTCCTCTACAGTCAGGGGACGAAGAACTGCAATGGTATCGTGGAGAACATGTTATCGACGAGGCGACACATGCAAAAGTACCAAGATAATAATAAAAAAAAGACTTACAATGAAACATACCAGATATTTGTAAAAATAATACGATATTGCAGCTGATTCTTCCTCTATCTGGTGTCAAACAAGTACGTGTTAGATCATAAACATGACTGAGGTATCGGCCCATTACGAAACATTATGTTATTATGATAGTACTATCATATAAACAAGTACTTATATATGTCTTAGGTTTTACTCTTTTCAGTGTGAAACAATGACTCCTGATATTTTTCTAGTTTGCTGATCCCCAGCTTCTTTATTCGACAGTGTGTGGGTTTCCTTTGTCATTCCTTTAGTTTGTTGGATTTCTTGTATATTTGAATTAACTCAGCCAGCTCATGTGAGTGTATATAATTTGGTATGGTCTCTTTGTTCCCAACAACGATACAAGGACGGAAGCAGTGTTATAACTGTGAATCAATAACAAAGTAAAAATGAGCAGTGAAGAAACTGTTTGTTGAAAATATTGTTGTTTTCGGCTGAAAAGTATCATTTGGGGATTTTGTCTGCCCATACACAAGCTTCAATTTTACAAACAATAAAAAAGGTCCTGAACTATCTTTGTATTATAATTGTATTTACACTGGACATATCCTGAAATATCTTTGTATTATCATTGTATTTACATTGGACATATCCTGAACTATCTTTGTATTATCATTGTCTTTACATTTGACATATCCTGACTTATGATGAATCTAACAGGGCTAAGCTCACAAGTCAAGCTTCATCACTTCAAACGAGAACCTGTATTGGACAGTGTAATGGTAAAATCATACACGCTTTGCATGGTCTGTTTAATTCAGTCAGCCTTTGTGGCTTTGTACTTAGTTGTGGTATATTCAATGAAAATAAATGTCATCATTCTGGACATTTGAAGCATTTTTCAGTTTTTCTCGATAATGGTCCCTGCAGGGTTACGGCAGGAGTACATGAACATGTACAGTTTATTATCATTTCATTATTTGTATTAATTTTAAGACAACACTATACTGAATGTTTGTACATTGTAATGACAATTTACTGTAAAAATGGATAAAACAAAACAAATTTTATTTTTCTGTTAAGGAGCGGCGTTACACCATAATGTAAATGGACGTATAAAAGTGAGGATTTTTTTTATGTTAATACGTAGTTTAATTTTATATTGTTTTATATTGTACTTAAAGCGTGAAAATGCACGGCCAGACGAGGTTTGGAACCCGGGACAATCCGACCTTCAAAAAGTTATTCATTATTCACGTATATTTACATTATTGATGTTTGTTCTGTATATTAATCTACCAACTGAAAACAGCTGCCATTAGAAAACATGAATACACTATGAATACAACGATTTTTGTGCAACCAGTCAGCTGATTTCACACACAATGCAAATCATATTACTACCCATAGTACCGTTCCTGAGAAGAGTTATCTCCCCTTCTCCGAGATAACGTGGTTGCGAGATATAATAAACATTACACAAACCATAAATGATCCACCATTGTAATATTATTATTGTTGTTATTTATTTTTCTATTAATTTGAAAATTTAAAAAAACAAATATCTATAATATTGTCATATTAAATACTGACTTTCGACTCTCAATCGATTCCTCGTGGTCAAGAACTCTGTAACACCCAAACGTACGGCTGGGTTATCCCCGTGACATCAACTTGCACATTAAACCAAGAGAACTTTGTAATGACACCGGGCACTTCATCCATCAACTTATCATTTACATCTGCATGTTTTTTGGCAAACAGCATAGTCAACGGCTGTACATTTACCTTCAAATGAGCTCTATGCCTAATGCCGACGGGTGTCCTGGATAGTTACTATGGTGACCGATAATTTGAAATTGTACTGCGAACATGCATTTTTTAACATTTTAACATCTCTTAAACGGTTCTGAAGATATTGTTGTTTGAAATTTCATTTTTCAATTTTAAAGCTTTCAACCAACATTGGCCTTTGACTCCGGCTAGCACTTAAAGTTGACAGTTGACCTCATTCTGTTAAAGAAAAGATTCACAACTGATCTACATAACATTCCCAAGTATCATGACTCTAGACTAAATGCTTCTTAGGATATCGTTGTTTGAAGTTTTTAACATATTTGACCCCTGTGACCTTGAAAGTAGGTCAATGTATTTTTTATGAGGACACCTTTTAGCACTCAATAGGTACCTACTGGCAAAATAGCATGACCCTGGGCCTTATGGAACTTGAGAAGAAGATTGTAAAGCGTTTAATCCATACTGACATTTGACCCGTGACTAGCACTTTAAGTTGACCTTTGACCTCATTACTGTAATAAAGGAAAAGAGTTGCACAGCTGGTCTACATAACATACCCAAGTATCAGGACTCTGGTCCAAATGGTTCTTAGGATATTGTTGTTTGAAGTTTTTAACATACTTGACTCCTGCGACATTGAAAGTAGGTCAAGATCATTTTAATGAGAAAAACTTTATAGCACTCCATCTCAGGTACATACTGGCCAAATATCGTGACCCAAGGTCCCACAGTTCTTCAGAAGAATTCGTTCAAAGGAAAAGTTGACGAACGGACGACGAACGCCGCAGTACGGCATAAACTCATATGGGCCTTCGGGCCAGGTTAGTTAAAAACGAAAAGAAATCACATTATAGCGCTAGCTGTAGTAAGCTGTATTCTAAACACAGTGTGTTGAGTTTTATTTGATAAATAATTTATGTTCGTTTGAAGTAGTAAATTAAGTCATAATACTATTTATCTCCTTGTATTGTGCTTCAAAAACCTATGCAAAGGGAGATAATTGTTTCTGAACAATTCTTCACAGCGAAATAGTTCCATATTTGTTAATGTTTGATACAATCATTCCTAGATAGGTATGAATTAAATGCGTTATGTATTTTCCTTTTTGTTAACTAATTTTTATATATAAATTATTCTTTTACTTGTTCGTCCTGTTTAGTTCAGGTCAAAACTGGAAGAAATGATTTAATATTCATTATAATCTCTCTTGCTGTTTCTTATCACTACCACAGTTTTATTTTTTCGAACTTTGCGTCAGTTGTTTTTGACCTAAATTCAAATGGCAGTGTCGTCAATGAAGCAGAAGACGTTTACCCTTCCTGAACACCTGGTCTATTTCTCCTACTTTTTATCGATTTTGAATTCTCATTATGGTTTTGTAAACAAATTTGATTTTTTTTACTGTTAGGAAACAATTTGTCATGATAGTTAGAGCGCTTGTTGGAGATGAGTTATTACGTCTAGCCCATGACATGCACCGCGTCCCAGAATGAATGGTAACAAAAGACTGTAAAGCATAAATGACATAACCTACACAAACACAAAATATTGTCGATAATACATATATCCCTGTGTTCCAGTTCGGCGCAAAACTCTGGAAGCAATACCTGGTAGCCTAATAGAACACTTTCAGTTTTGACACCAGTTTGTATTCCAAAAAACACACATTCCGGTATAAGCTTGCCACAAAAAGTACCCATAACATAGACATAATGTTTGCCTGTCCTTTGTACAGTAATAGAAGTTCTGATTTATATTCACTGACATCTACGTTCCGTTAATTACAACACAAAAGCAGTCTTTTGCAGCAGCCTCGTTTGATGACGTGGCTTTATGATTCCGTCTGCACTTCCTATGTTCCTTCCTGCACTGACTGGATTAGATGTCACGTCCAACATCTCTGTCCTGAGGACTAGCACTAGAAAGGAGACACTGACAGAATCTTCACCTTCTCCATAAACATTTTGGTTGTCATTTCAAATGAAACACGAATTATTATTACGTATTCAGTAATTCCAAACAAAAAACATTTGGTGTTTCCGTTAACGGTAACCTAACTAACCCTAATTGTTTGTGCCTACCCTAAACTGTTTAAGGCAGTTTTCAAAAAAGCACTGTTAAAGTCAAGATCACTCGCATATATCAGCCATATAAAATGATATGTTAAAATAAATGTTTACCTACCTACCCTAAACTTTTTAAGGCAATTTTCAAAGAAGCACTGTTAAAGTCAAGATCACTCGCATATATCAGCCATATAAAATTATTTGTTAAAATAAATGTTTACCTACCTACCCTAAACTTTCCCAGCATGTTACAGGAAACACATACTTTTGTGTCTAGCCTAATACGATATATAATGAACGTCTATTCCATAGTAAGTTCTAACAATGTTTTTTTTATTTATAAATTGTTCGTCAATATGCACATAATTAGGTAAAGAGAGAGTTCATTTAACGTTCATTAAATAGCGTTTTGTTAATTAATAAAAACCGAAACATTGTGATTTCACAGTATCTAGTACCAAGGGCCATATGATACTGTACACAGGGAAACGTTCGCCCAATCAAATATTCGACCGTCACCGGTAACATCCATGTTCGCCCAGTGTTAATCTCGATCGTTATATGTTATTACTATTCATTGTATTTTATGTACTTATATTTGGTATGATAAACTCGCACTCATTGCGGAAGGCAAAAAAGCGGACGTTAAAACTGCGGTAAAAATTTCTCGGTATACAATAATGTATTGCGTTGAATCTGTCTGGAAGAAATTTGAGAAATATACGGACAGAAAAAAAAATAAAAAAATAAGTAAAAAAAGTCATTAACTTAAAGAGTGGTATCTATTTGTCTCGGTGCTGTCTTTAATTTGGATTGTGGTATTGTTTTTCAGAAATTCGAGACTTTCTATATGCTTTTTTTGTCTCTCCTGTTTTCTTGTAAAATTGCAAAACTCACTTTGAGAATAACGTCAACTCAAATGTGCAATTGGACAATTGAGTTGAAGTTAATTTCAAAGAAATATAGCCATTCTTTGAATTGTTCCAAAGAATGGTTATCTATTATACCACAAAATGTGTTGTATGATTTCCAACTACTGTACATTGGGGAGATATCCACAATTCAGTATATCCGTTGTAAATTGACAGCTGATGGTATGAACGGTCTGGCACACTGAACTAGTGTTTCTGTCGTCTCTCGTGACCGTCACGTGACATACTAGGGGATAAAACAGCAGCAGGTTTTTCCAGTTCGACTCGGGTCAGCCAGGACATATGTAATATAAGTACACCTTACAGGTGAAAATGTGAGGAAAGGAGAAATGTCAAAACGGAGAATTAACCAAGAGATTCAGATGACAATCCAGCGATAAAATGTGGTCCTATAGCACATGTTAATTGTTGTAACGTAGTTTTTGTGAGGACATTCTAGTATTATACAACAAGACATGGTGTAACTCAAATAAAACCTAAGATAAATGTCCAGTCTGAAACGTTATTGTTATAATAACACATCTTTTGTTTTACATACTAATTACACATATACACAGATTTGATCCTGGCTAGAGGAATGTTTACATTTCCTCTGCTGTCAGCTCTGTAATATGAATAAAAGTAGGTTGATATTATTTGTAATAACATGAATTATGATTAATTTTGCAAGTCCATTGCTGATAATGTCTCCACAGCTCTGTTATTACAAGTTCATAAACTAACAATTATCTGTACATTGAATTCTATTTCAGGTATATACACGTTAGTGGTTCATATTTAATGTTGGTATACTATTTTCTTATATATGACATATGAGTGTTAGGTTTATGTTAAATTAAATTACCGTGGCCTCAATAGGTTCCCTGTGGTTACAGATAAGTGGTTGGTTCTTCCAATGGTGATCACGTCTAGATTCAAATGCTCGAACAGTTTGTGACGTTACAACCTCTGATGGCATACTGTTCCATATGTCCACGGTTAAGTGTAGGAAGGAATGTTTCCTGATGTTAAGAGCGTCCTTTTTTATATAATTTCAGCTCATGTCCCCTCGTGGTGACGGTACTACTGAAAGGTGAAATGAATGTAGACACCTCAGGATCATATTTCACTGTCGTGATTTTGAATAGCTCTATCATGTCTCCCCTAGCTCTTCTATAGGCCAAAGTTGGCAGTTTCTTTCAGATGTTGCAGTCTTTCTGGGTAAGATAAATGAGGCATTCCTGGAATTAGCTTGATAGCTCTTTGTAATGACGTATTAACGTTAGCACTGGTGCAAATAATGGGTCAGTGCCCATAGACATCGAACAAGACAGTCCAGATGTGAAAAAATGTACGATTATCATTAACGAATAACCATTTATCTATATACATGTGTATACGATTTTCTTGTATTCAAGAACAAATACAGTATGGTAATAGATACAGTATGGTAATAGATACAGTATGGTAATAGATACAGTATGGTTATAGATACAGTATGTTAATATATACAGTATGGTAAAAGATACAGTATGGTAATAGATACCGTATGGTAATAGATACAGTCAGCCAATAATGAATTACACTGCACTAAACAGCTGTTCCGTCCTTATGGGACTCATCGGTGAAGCTGAGGGCCGAAGGTTGGAAATAAGAAATAAGTAATTATTTAGTCAGTGAAATAAAAAGAAGTATATATATATGGTAACAGCTCATACT